AGATAAGGCAGAAACAATATCTGTACTGCTAAAATTCTGGCTCCTGTAACTGATAACTGAAACAGCGCCTCATGGGGCAATTTTATTTTTGAACCAAGGTATTTCAAATGTGCCGATTTATAGAAGGCATCCAAAATCTGAGACCCACGATTCCCCTGGAGTTGAAATTTGGCAAACTTGATAAAACATTTTATGTTATAACTATCATGAAGCAATGTATGACACAATATGTCATAAAACATCCTGTGCTGATGTTCGACTGTGCTATACAGTTCAGCATGGGCTACTTTCAAGGAAGATACACCTCTGACTGTATCCCAGACTTTCCAGTGAAAACAGTACATTAGAAGTTTTGTTATTGTTGAAGGCAATGAGGAATCTGTTAAGGAAATATCTCTGAAAGGAATGACCCATGGGGGCATAGGTTGTCTAGTTCCATTTAAAAATCAATGGTGACAAGACAGCTGTGGCTGATAACTTCCCTCCTGCCAAATAAAAACCAATATCTTTATTTCCTAAAGAAAAAAAATGCACATGATTAGTAAATCTAATTGGGCAGTTCTTGTTCACCACATCTATCCCATTATCATATAATATTATTCTTCTGTTATCTTATAAAACAAGGGATGAGGTTTGCTTTTACATTAAATATCAACACAAATGAGAAGGCAAACTTCAGTCATTGTTCCAGCCAGAGTAGAAAAAACATTGGCTGGAAATATATATGTATGTATGTATGTATGTATGTATGTATGTATGTATGTACATACATACATACATACATGGAGAAAGGAAGCTATTTTTGCCACAACTTTCCAGCCAATGTTTTTATATATATGTTAAAAACTACAAGTTCCAGGTAAAACTGTGGAAAAAAGAGACAGACATCCCGATCTCTGGAACTAAAAATGTATATTGTTCACTAAGTATCATTAGCCTCTGCTAATGTTGTGTTTAGCCGGTAGCAGGTGCGGACGGCTGAGAAGAGCGAGGACTCAGATGAGGGGCCAGGACCATTAGGGAGTGGACTGCTGCCTTCAGAGATTGTGGGGGCAGGCAGCAGTGATGAGGTTCCTGAGGAGCCTGTGCCAAGTGCACATGCATGCAGGATTGCTCGCAGGAAAGAGCAGCTGCAACAGCATGGGCAACTCAGATTGCAAGGTAATGGCCCCTCCTTCAAGAAGATAAAAGCCAGTTGTGAATGAACATACTTTGCAGAAGGCAAAGACATTTGAAACTCCAGCCTCATGGACATTCCAGTATCCTGAATTTGTATTTGAACATTTTTTTCTTGCAAATTATTTCTTGTCTGTTTTCTTTTGGCAAATCTCGCACAGTTTGGCAAGGCTTGTGCTTATCACAGCTAATTATTTTGTAAAAGCATTACAAGGTTTTTGTTCCTTTTGGATTGTGTTTGATTTGTTGAAAAAGGGTGTAGGTCAGAACAGCTAACATCATCAGAGTATAAAATAACCATCAAGGAGATATGTGATTTTATACAACATTAACCAATGGCCGTTGTGCGCATGACTTTGACAGCATTCTCTCTAGTTCACTCCCTCATCCGAACAGACTTCCGTCTTAAAGGTCCCTTTGGTTTGTCCACTAGATTCATTTGTTGCTTTGCTTGTGATGGGAAGCAGTCTCTGCTCTTCTTGCAGGATCTTTCTTGGTGCCTCAATGCTTGGTAGGCTGGTAGCAGTTCAATGTGTCTATTAATGGAGTTGTTGTTGGAAAACCAGGCGTCCTTCAGTAAGCGTCCCCCTTTGGTTGCATCACGGGCAACAACTTTGGCCTCTTGAAAATTAAATATGTGATTGTGTTTCTTCATATGTGTCTGGATCTGGGAGCGCTGTTCTTTGCACCAGACAGCCAATTCATGTTTGTGTACTCTGGTCTGTTGTCACTTGGCTGTTTCTCCTACATAGTTGGTTGCAGTTACTGCAGTTGATATGGTAAACCACCGAAGATGCCTGTTCTTTGGGTAATGTTTCTTTTGGTGCATTACTCTCATTCTCAACATTTGATCCGGTTTGTGCGCCACCTTGACCCCATGTGGCAAGAGAATGTGTGCAGCAGTTTCAGATACCCCCGTATATATGGGAGCACCCTCCACATAGATGTTTCACTAGCACCTTCAATAGGTTGTCAGGCTCTGGGGGTAAAACATCTTTGGATAAAGTCCATAGAATAACCATTGAGCTTACAGACTTGATAGAGGTATGCCCGCTCTTTGGCTTTGGCTGTCAGTGTGCTACAATGGGTATCTATTCTATTGAACAGCGCCCAAATACAACTGATTTTGTGTGCGGTGGGATGATTACTTTCATTGAGCAAAATGTGGCTTGTGCTTGTGATTTTTTGATGTACACCTGTGTCAAGACTCCTGTCTGGGTTACAGCTGACTAATACATCCAAGAAGGCCAGTGTATTATTGGCCTCTTCCATCGTGAATTGAATGTCTGGGTATATGGAATTGAGGATTTTCATGAATCTGGTCTTATCTTGCTGTTTAATAATGACAAACGTGTCATCGACATAACTTGCCCCAAACTTGGGCTTGTATATTTTCATTGTTTCATATTCTAATTTCTGGAGGACTGCCTCTGCAATCACTCTCGAGATTGGAGATCCCATAGGTGCACCTTTTATTTGTTTGTACATATGGTGGTTAAATGTAAAATAAGTTCTAAGGCTGAAATTCAACAGGAGGAGGAGATCGTTTGTGCTAGGGGATTTGGGGTTCCATGACACTTTCTCCAATAATAGTTCCTTTATAGTTATGGTCGCTAACTCCTTGGGGATGGACCTAAACAGTGATACAACATCAAATGACACCATTGTTTCCTCCTCCCCAACCTCCACTCCCTCTGTTGTAGAAAGTCGGTAGAAGACTTTACGCTGGTAGTGGTGCCTTTGATCAGCTGTTGTAGCTGTCCATATAGCTATTTGGCTAAACCAAATGTAGGAGTGCCACAAAGGGAGACAATGGGGCACAGGTAATCCATAGAATCATGTTATGGCTAAGTCTTTTGGTCGAATCATTTTTAGATCCTCTTCATCCACTTTCCCTTGTCTGTTGAGTTTATCAGCTATCTTGTTAATTTGGTTCTTGAAAGATGTCATGGGATCCTTATCCAGGAGTCGATAGGTATTCCTGTCATTAAGAAGGTCATAGACCTTATTATAATCCATTCTGTCCATGACTACTGTTGCCCTGCCCTTATCAGCTGGCAGTATAATGATGGAATTGTCTTTTCTCAATTCCTGGAGGGCCAACATTTCAGATTTTGATAGTGATGCTCTGCTTATGGCTGGTAAGGAATCCTATCAGCTGTTGTCTGATGGAATTTTTCACCTCTTCGATACCTCTAGTCAAGAAATCATTGACTCGAGGGCTGCAGCAAAATCAACCGGTTTGGTATCAGTTAAATTTAAACTGGCATCATGTTGTAGAACCCAGACCTGTGTGTCAGTGAGTACTTTAGAGGATAGGTTGTTCACCAATTTTTTTTCATCTGGCGGGCCCTCAAGGACCGCAGTGTCTCTGTTTTTCGTCTAAGTATGATGTTTTTTTGCAGGCATGTGTCTCGTACCACTTGGGATATTGTACAATCAAGAGCCTTAAAGTGGGTGTCTGTTAATGCCACCCGACATTGTGCTTGGCATTGTTTGGTTCTTACCATTTGTGCACTGATTTGTCTGTGGCAGTCATTGATCATTGCATATAACATTCTGGACTGGCGAACCGCTGCATGGCTCTCTGGTGTATCTACTATACGGGTCTTTTCTGCAGTGATTTTGGTGGTAAGCCATTTCGAATGCAGTTATGAAGTAAGGCTAGCTTCTCATGATTAGTTGCCTTTTGTTGGGCATTAATCACATATTTAATTTTCAAGAGGCCAAAGTTGTTGCCCGTGATGCAACCAAAGGGGGACGCTTACTGAAGGAAACCTGGTTTTACAACAACAACTCCATTAACAGACACATTGAACTGCTACCAGCCTACCAAGCACTGAGGCACCAAGAAAGATCCTGCAAGAAGAGCAGAGACTGCTTCCCATCACAAGCAAAGCAACAAATGAATCTAGTGGACAAACCAAAGGGGCCTTTAAGATGGAAGTCTGTTTGGATGAGGGAGTGAACTAGAGAGAATGCTGTCAAAGTCATGTTGTATAAAATCACATATCTCCTTAAGATATATGATTTTGTTGTTTTACATTTTGATGATGTTAGCAGAGGCTAACAAAAGCTTAGTGAACAATATAAATTTTTAGTTCCAGAGATTGGGATGTCTCTTTTTTCACACACACACACACATATATGTTTTCTGAGGTTCTCGCGGGTATTAATATGTGGATCTTTGGTTATTCGGGTTTTCTCCCGCGTAAGATTGGAAGTATCTAGGCAACGTTTCGATGAAGAAGCTCTGAGAAGCACAGAGCCGAAGAGACAAGCCTGAAGATGATGAATGAGACTTCATCGAAACGTTGCCTAGATACGTTTTCACATATATGTGTATGTATGTAAGTATATGTAAATATATATATGTGTGTGTGTATATTATATATATATGTGTGTGTGTGTGTGTATGTATAATGTGTAATGTGTATATGTGTGTGTATATATACATATACATATATGAACACTATACAGAAACCTGATGATGGCAGATGAGATTCTGCCGAAACGTTGCTACAACTTTAAAAGCACAACTACAATGATGTGGGAAAATACCCGAACAAAGCCGAATGTAAGTACCCACGAAAACTTAAGTGTGTATATATATATATATATATATATGTGTGTGTGTGTGTGTGTGTGTGTGTGTGTGTGTGTGTGTGTGTATATGTATATGTATGTATATATGTATATATGTATATGAGATAACAGATTTTATCCCATTTATAAGCAAATTAGATAGCCACACAAACAAAGCATATTTCTTTATCTTTTCTAGTTTGGGCCATGTTGGGGAAAAAAAATTGGGACATGCTTCATTTTCTACTGAATTGTTATTAAGCAGTGTGATTTACAATTGACACATGATACACAGGGGTCATAAATGGAAATCATAAGAATATGACCATGTACATAAAATAGTATATTAATATAAAGACCCCAATAACATAGATAACCACCCAGACAGGGAAAATGCAAGGTTAGTCAGTAAAGTAACTTCAAGCTGCATGATACGATTTATTTCAAAATTCAGACAGAAACCCTGAGTAACCAGCTATACAATCAGTTAAATTAAAAAAGGAAAAGAGCAACAAAGACTTTTTTGGTTGCACTTAGCATCATGGAGGTGCTGGATTGTGCTGTTTGGCAGAGTTTAAAACAAACAAACAAACAAACAAACAGAAACCCTTTCTCCATCTAGAAAATCTGAATATCTTCACCATTGAAAAAAGCATTTTCTTGCAGGCTCATTACACATTTAAAAGCTAGATACAATCTGGCATAGACTTCAAGAGTCCACAGGATTTGAAGATTTAGAAAAAGTATATATAATTCCAACCAGTCGGGTGGAGTTGTCTTCAATCACATGATGTTGAAAAGGGAAAGAGGGAAGAAGAGATGAGTCAGAGTTGTTCAAAACCATCTTGAGTAATGGCCGCCTGGTGTGGATGATAAGGAGCAGGAAGTTCAAGCTTGTGCACACGAGAACTCACAAATCATGTAAAAAGTGTGTGTCTGTACAGAGGGGCCCTTTTTTTAAAAAAGCAAAACAAGAACATCTCCACTGGAGCGATCTTGATGAGAGAAGCAGTGTGAAAGCACACTTTCAGCTGTTACCAGGTTTGAGTTGCTGAGTTATCAACTGGTCTAAGGCATGGCCATTTGCAGGTAGAGGTTTTTCGCAGGAAGATTATTGCATGTTCATCTTCTTACCTACATCTACATAGATTCCTTTGTAACTGTAGACTCTCTGTTCATTTAAGAACAACACATCACAACAACAACAAAAGATATCCATGAGGAGAACAAGAGCTAATCTTTCTGAAGGCACTTGGCCCTGATGGACTTCTTGGTGGAGTGACACTTTCCTGGGCCCCTGGAAATGCCAGGGGAGTTTGTGCAGAGTCACGACTTGGGGTGGTGGAGAATTACCCTGTATTCCCATATCACAGAGTGGTAGATGGGAGCTTCTTAACACGCCTCTGTGCCAACAAAGAGGCTTCGATAGGCTTCAGTTGGGGACTTGGCTTTGAGTTGTTCAGTGCAGAGTATGTGGCAGCCATGGCACCCTGGAAGAGAGATGAGCCACAGGAGTTTGCTTAAGAGACAGGCATGTATAAGATGCATAGCCACCAGGGTTGACATCACTACAAAAAACTGATTATTTGCTGATCTCTTTAGGCCCTCAAAGCACTAAACTATTCACTATCCCATCTGGCCATGCTGTTTGGAGACATAGCATTTTCATTCCAACCTAAGAGAAATTTCCTGACAGAGCAATTAATCACTGGAACGATTTGCCTCCAGAAGTTGTGAATGCTCCAACGCCAGAAGAGATTGACAACCATTTGTCTGAAATGGGGGGGTTTCTTGCTTGAGCGAGTGGGGTGGGGGGTTGGACTAGAAGAACTCCAAGGTCCAACTCTTGTTATTCTGTTATTAATTCATGTACACATTCTCCGGTTTGGGGATTTAATATATCACTCCAAAGTGCGCTCCCAACTTCAAGGGCTCACCTCAACGAGCAATGATGATAGGGACAACTGATAGACTTGCCTTTCCTAGTTCCAAGGCTCTTATTAAAAAGGTTATCTTTATCTGTTTCATTATCCATGAAAATCTCGTTGCCCAAGATGAACAATTTTACTAGCGCTAAGCCTCAACTGAGACGGAGCAATTTAACCCTGCTTAAGGGAACAAATCAAGGTCTTGAAAGAAAGCAACGATCACTTATGTGTTTGTTTCTTCAGGCAAATACTGGTAAAAACAAGAATGGAGACAAAATGTTTGTAGACCTCCATGGAGCAATGAAGTCCACTTCTCTGGGAGTCACAATTAACTGCAGTTTCCCTGGTGAATGAATTTGGGGTAGGAGAACCATTTACTGTATGAAACAGCCTGACTTATTCTTAAAGAAATGTAATGGCTAGAGTTCCTGAAAGGAGGGCAGCCTTTTTATTTTAATGATTTCAAGCTAATATTAACTCTAGCAACTGCCTGGACAAGTCGCTGCAGTTTTCTTGACAAGGTTTTCCAAAGAGATTTGCCACTGCTTGCTGCCTATGGCTGCGTGTTTGACTGGTACAAGGCCAACCAGCTGGCTTTGTTCCTAAGGCAGGTCTAGCCCTGAAAACTTTAACCAGTACACCAAACAGGCTCTCTGCACCTTCCATTTACAGACTAGAATTCCTTCTCTCTCTCTCTGACTGGTGTTTTCCTGCTAGAAGCTGCAGATTTTGCCAACTGGGAAACATTTCCCCTAGCAAAAGCTGTATGTGGAAGTTTTAACCTAAACAATCTGAAGCGGCTTATAATATCCGAAGAATGATTTCCTAAGGGTTTCCATCAGGTACATGCACATACATAGGACGGGGAGAGAGCTAGACTTGCTATTCCTATCCTGATGAGTTTAGTGTTTTAATTTATTTTTTAAAGTACTATCAAGTACTTTAAAACACAGGAAGTGCCAATTTCAAATGACTTCTTCAGCCAGATTACTATTGTTTGCTTTGGCGGCACTTGGTTTTTTCCCCCCCGCTTTTCAAACATGAGATGCCACAAATAGAACATGGATTTCCCACATGTAATCTGAGTTGTGCCAGCCTCTCTCTCCCATGTTCCTCTTTTTCCTCACTGACCCAAAGATACTGAGAGAAAACTAGGGCCGTATGACAGAATATGGCAGGAAGTACCGGTATGCAAATCTCTTCATACCTTTACAAGCTGTACATCCTGATGACTTAATTGGCTCTGAGGCAACTTGTCCTTCTGGGTTATCCACGGGTGTTGGAGTACCTGTATGGCAGTCAAACGCTGATGCGGATCAACATGGAGCATCTTGGATACTAAATCCTGCAGTAAGTATTTAGAAAACATAGCTGCTGAATATCATTTTTCCCCTTGCCAGTTTCTTGGCTACAATGAAGGAGACAGTGCTGCTTCTTGGTTAATTTGAAAGTTACTTCCAGGTGTGTCACATATCTGGGAACAACAATGCCAGAAGATTTTAAAAAAAAACTTTGCCCTCTCCCAAACTTAGATTCATTCAATGATACTGAATTATGAGAGAATTAAGACAGATAAACAACTTGTTTTGTTATGGCAGAGCATAATTTAACTTGTGGGATCGGTTACCACCAGAATAAGTAAAGGCTGCTAAATTGGGCAATTTTAGCATTCCTGGATGATGAGGTTATGAAAAACTCATAACCATGACCCCAAACTCAGAATTAATAACTTAACCATATCAGAATGGTTAAAAATTACTCTCCAGAATCAATGCTCCTCATGAGGAACATGGACAGGAAGGTGTGATGGCTCTCCTAGAAGCACCTGATCAGCCACTGGACGAAATGAAAGTGGACTAGATAAGCCCTAGTGCCAAACTCTCGGGTTTTATGACTCAAGCTGGCAACTGCTTTATCACTGCCTGAGCTTAAGACGCTAAACCTTACTTTGGCTGCATCAGAAACAGTGTTCCAATTTCCTCCTTTGAGGGAAAACCTTCCACCGCCTATCCGAACAAGGATCTCTTCGGGGGTATCACTGGGCCCATTTGCAAATGGAGTATACCTGAAAAAGGCACAAGGGGCAGGGAGAATGACAATAACCACATATTTAAATACATGCAATACCATAATGTCAGATGGAAGAGATGAAGACAACATCTAAAGCCACGGGTGTCAAACTCAATTTCATTGAGGACTGCAACAGGATTGTGTTTGACCTCGAAAGGGTGGGGGGTGGGCATGGCCATAGTGACCGTGACACGGGGGCCAAGTGCTAATGCAGAACTTCCCTGAGACCCTCACTCACTCTCATCATAATCTTCACCCCCGCACCCTGTTTTCACTGGCAGAAGACTACAGGAGGCCATTGTGACCAAAAGCGGGGCACAAGGGGGCTCCACGTGCACCCCCCTTTTGCTGGCAAAGGGCTGCAGGAGCCCCCACCAGCTCCCTTTTTCCTGGAAGTGGCACAGCAGGCCAGTCCTTTGTTGTTTCCCTGTGGGCCGGATCTGGCCTGTGGGCCTTGAGTTTGACACCCCTGATCTAAAGCATGGGGTGAGAGTACACATGAGTAGAGAAGACAGGAGGGGCCTGCAGAGGAATGAGATTTGTCACCCCCATCTCAACAGCATCCAATTTGCAGAAAACCCATTCAACTCCTGGTAGAGATTTAAGTACACATTATTTTCACTGTAAGGTTTGGTTATTTTTAAAATAACAGAGATCCACTACTTCGGCTCAGCAGAGGCCGGGATTCTCAGGAGACAAATGGAGACAGACTCTGAACTGAGAGATTTCGTAATTCATTATAATTATGAGCGTGTAATAAGTCACAGTGCCCTATTATGGAGCGGAATCATACGGTCTGGTCTGTTAATGATTGGTTGGGAATGGAAGATTTGCTGTGGGGCAAAGAATTGGCCGGCCTGACCTTCAGGTTTGTTTCCGTTCTCCAGTATAACAGCAATCGCTAATAAATGCCTGTAGCGGCTTGGAAATGTGCAAGCATTTCCTAATTTTTAAGCAATGTTATGATGAGCCTGCTAGATTTTATTGATAGCTAATTTATAGAAAATCTTCCCCAAAGAGCATAGAGGGGCTTCAAATGCCTACCCTAAGCAGAACAAAAAAAAAAAAATCTTAATTGGGATAGGGTGATTACAATTCCAACTGAATCAATTTTTTACTCACTGATGGGAGAGAAAGGCTTAACATGTTGAGTAAACTCAATTTTGCATAAGTTAGTCCCCATAACAAGTTAAGCCAACCCTCCCAAATATTAATGTGTCTTGTGACTCATGATTGCTACCTACAAGTGATGTGAAGCCAGAAATTCTGAAATACTCAACAAAACAAACTGAAAAAAAACCATGGTTAATAATAGCGAAGTTGCCAATAGCAGGGCAAAATACAGAATACCAGGATTGGAAGGGATCTTGGAGATCTTCATGACCAACTTCCTGTCAGGCAAGAAACTCCAACCCTTTCTGGACAGATTCCTATCCAATCTCTTCTTAAAAACCTCTAGTTATGGAGAACCCGCAGCTTCTGAAGACAAGCCGTTCCACTGATTCTTTCTGTGAGGAAATTCCTCCTTAGATCTAGGTTGAATCTCTCTTTGATTCATTTCCAACCACTACTTCTTGTCTTGCCCTCAGGTGCTTTGGAGAAAAAGTTGCCCCCCTTTTCTTTGTGACAGCCTCTCAAACCAGAGGCCTTCTATCATGTCACCAGTTAAGAATGCAGCCAAAGAGGAGACAGATTCTAATGTCTTGCTCAAACAGAAGATTCACCAAGCAATCTCAAGTTAGTCATCGTACCTATTACTTGTGTTCATACACTCTTTCCTAAGCACGAGTTGCAGCATTCACATTGTGCATAAGACCGTGACACATAATGGAGAAACCATAATGGCTAGGTTCACAAAAAAGATTAAACCAAAACTAAGCCACATGATGGCTTAATTCGATTGAATTGTCTCGCCCTATCCTGTCTCACAGAACTGTGAGATAAAAAGGAGAGGCAGAGGATCACCTATCTCTCCAAGCATTTTTTGGAAGGAGAGTGGGTGGAATGAAAATTTAACAAAGAAATACAGTCACAATTTTTGTTCTCCCAGCAACCCCAATATATCCATCTTACCCTGCTAGCATTGTGTAGAGAAGAATTCCTAAGCTCCAAATATCACAGGCCTCATCGTAGCCTTGGCGTTTCAAAACCTAAATTAGAACAAGAAAACACGGAGGCATAATTATCAACTGAAGGAAGAATGGGAGAAAACATTGACGAAAAGGGAAAACAGGGAAGCTGATGGTGCTCTCTGCTGATTTTCTTGACTCTGAAAAATGGAGAAGAAATAAAAGAGGCATGGGTGACATCTCCAGCAATTATAAAAATGCAGAAAAACCATGAAGTAGCTCAGTTTTGAGTTTCTCCTCTCTTATTACTCCTGAACATCCTGTTAAGATGATCAGTACTTGTTGGTCTTCTTTACCTTTTCTTACCCTCTTTCCATTTCCTGTTTATGTCATTTAAGAAAAAGTCAATTCCACTAATTTACAGCCATTGGCTGTGCTATTAACCAAAGATGTTTCAAATACTGTGTAGTTACAAAAAAAGCAACTGGTCTAATTAGCCATCTTATCTATGAATAGTTTCTAAGCAGGGAAGACAACAGTCTCTATACGCAACCTTCCCCATGGTGGATCTTCCAGATCAGGGATCCCCAATCTCCAGACCGCAGCCCACTACCCGCCTTTGAGCCACTCAGGTCGCAGAAATAGCAGGCAAGCTCGTGCACGCTCAGTTGTGTCAGTGGTGTACCCACCACTCACACAAATAGAGCTGCGTGCACACACTTGCCTGCTTCCATGGAACCATTCCCTCTCTACCCACCCCGCCGGGCCACAAAACCAGAAAGGTTGGGGAACTCTGTTCCCGATGAATTCAGCTTGCAACACCAAAGATTCCTGTTTTTCTCCTAGGACAAAATGGGAGATGCTTCACTCCATACAAAAAAGACCCTCCTTGCAACTGCAGAACGTCCCGTTCTTGCCTCCTAACATTACATCTCCCCTTTCAACATTCTCCTATCAACTCTTCTCAGGAGATAGGGACTTCCTCCTCCTAAGTACAGAATGATCATGGTGTAATCCTCCCAAACAATCTGGAAGGAGCCTGCTTGATGGGGGCCAAGACTACTTCAAGGGTCCCCCAGGCCTTTCAGATAAAAAAAAAAAAGGTAGCATTTGGAATTCCAGGTATATTCTGGCTTTCTTACCTAGATGACACCATGAAAGCGCAAGAAAGGAAGCCATGAGTATTTGGGATAGTTACAAAAATTCAGATCCAGTTTCTATGTTGGCCTTTATCCCCAACCCAAACATGCTAATATGATGATCTGGAGAAAATCCGCAGGAGGAACATAACTCAAGGCTTTCAGCTAAGAGCAAAAGTAGGCTTCATTTTCAGTTTGGGGACAGACAGCAAGTGTTCAGACAACCTTTGCGCTTGATTCCATTGTAGCACATTATCCTACAAATATTTGTAGGCACAAAGCATATCAGTCAGGTCTTTAATTTAGCTCACTTGGGTGGAGAGAGTGATTAGAGAGACCTTCCTAAAATGAATAATAGAACAAGTATGTTTTCCTTGAGAATTTGACCCCAACAAACTTAGGTTTATGAACTGCTTACCTCTGGAGCAACAAAGTTGGCGGTATAGCAAGGAGTCATGAGGAGCCCATTGTCTGCCCTCAGTTGCTTGGCAAACCCAAAGTCACAAATACGAATACATTCAGGGTTGCTGGACTCATCTACGTAGAGGATGTTGCTAGGTTTCAAGTCTCTATGGACCACCTGCAAAGCAAAAGTGGAAATTGCAGGTCATGAGCTTGCGACTGCTTCCTTCCAATTTACAGATATGTGCTCCCGTTCCAGATGTTAAGCGTCATTCTGATCCTACAACTGCAGTGTATTTCTGTTCTGCTTTTGGGTTACAGAGCCCCTAATAAGGATAACAAGAAAGTTAGCAGAAAACATAGAAAAAAGGATGCAATAAAACAGAAGTCACAATAGATTGATAGAAAAGGATTGCTAAAATAATGATGTAACGGAGACTACAATCAACCTGAGGCTGAACCCGCAGATTTTCACCATAAAGACGTTCTAGAGATTTGCTACCACCAGAGAAAAATAATCCCTGGGCCTGGTTTGTATATAATTGTTTGTATATAATTGTCAAATCTCATGTGACAATTGAATTTATAGCCAAGACAAAGCAGAAGCCATTGTTTTACTTTAATTTGGGCAAGTGCGTGACTGCCTTCAAATTCAATGCAGCATCCCCAATTGGGTACTAACGCCTGCAAAAGACTTGATGTCTATCCCTCCTGATGAATCTCCTCTGACGTTTGCCTTGTACTTCTTCCACACCCTGATGATACTTTTCTTCATCCTAATTTTAAAAAAAGAACCCCGACTCTATTGGATTTACCCTGACTTTTCCTAGTTTTGACATTGGTTTTTGCTTCAACACAGGTGATTTTTATTTGCAGAACAAATCAAAATATGCGATGCACATAAAAGTTTTGACATGCATAAAAAGCAACCATTTTGATGTTATGACCATATACCATGACACAAAGTGCAGGGCAGCCCAGGGAAGCGGGAGGATCCTTGCCAGCATCTTCTACTCACCCCTTGGGAGTGAAGATATTCCACAGTCTTGCAGATCGTGTGCAGGACGGAGCTTGCTTCTCTTTCTGAAAAACACTTCTGCTTGAGAATCCTGTCTAGCAGCTCCCCACCTCTCATTAGTTCAGTCACCAGGTAAACATGTTTGCCATCATCGTATACCTGCCAAATGGATATTTCTGAGCAGGTCTGAGAAAAATGATTTAACTTGTTTCCCCAAACCGTCTCCCAGCTTCATATACTCTACATACAACTTGAGGCCCGGAAATTGCACAGGATGCAATTCTGCACAGGGATAAAGATTTCTAAAATACAGAAACAGCATCTTGACAACCATGGAATTGTTGTGTATGATGTCTGAGTTCTGAAGCAGGGGCTTGTGTGTGTGTCCCTCTCTCTAGCAATATTATGCTGAATCAGAATTGACATTGCCAGCAGAAATCTGGTGGACTACAGCTTTTTAGGGCACCAAATACATAGGGTCACCTCTTTCACTGTAACCTCTGCTTGTTTTTTCTTGTATTTTACTTCAACAAACACCCTCTGTAAAAAGGAGAGCCTGCTCTGGCACCAGGAAGGAATTCAGAACTGCCTCTGAATACAGCCTCAAAATGTCTGTGTCTTTTACAAATCCTGCAAGGCCATCATAACCAGGGGTGGGATTCAAATTTTTTAACCACCGGTTCTGTGGGCGTGGCTTAGTTTGTGGGCATGGCTTGGTGGTCATGTTATTGGCTGGGTGTGGCCAACTCAATATCACTCACATCGAGGCACGCATCTCCTCGCCTGGCCTCTCATGACTGTGGGAATGCTGCAACAGTCATAAGTGTGAAAAATAGTCATAAGTCACTTTTTTCAGTGCCATTGTAACTTTGAATGGTCATTCCACACAAGCAAAGTACCAGGAAAGGAGGAAAAAAAACTCCAGAGAAGTTCCAGAGACAGGAAGTCCAGTCCTGCCAAGAATGTAATAAGGGTTAACAGAGAGGCAGTTTCTGTAAGCAACACCAGAATGTCTCCTTCCTGCCTTCCTTACAGGATTAGGCCAGGAATTTCTTCTAACAACCAGTTCTCCAAACTGCTTAGAATGTTAACAACTGGTTCTAGCGAATAGGTGCGAACTGGTAGAATCCCACCCCTGATCATAACTGTGAGCAGATCTAATCTGGGAGTGAGAAAGAGAGCAAAGGGATGTTTGTCTACAGGGTTGCACTTTTCACCAATGAACTATAGGTAATTCACCTAACAACCACACTTGAAATTGGAATATTGGTCATTGAGTGAAGCAGTTACTAAGTGAGACATCATGTGATTGCTTTGCTGAATGACTGCAATCTTAGTACTCCTTGGTTGTTCGTTAAGAAATCTCATGGGTCATTAAATAGATGGGAGTCTCAGGTAAGGAGCATGGGATGCCTTAAGAGGATGCCTGTAGGCCATGCACAAGTGTTTCTCCATTCAGGAATGGAAAATCCTCCCTGCTGAAATCCAAGTAGAATTTTTCAGACCCTGAGTGGAAAGAAACTCATATATGGCCTATCCCAGGCTTCCCCTACCCCAAGGCACCCCATACTCCTTACCTTACGACGATGCCTCCCTGCTCTGGAATTGTAAATCCTCTGTGACTGGAAAATCCTGCGTGGATTTGGGGATATATTTTTTTTTAGAAGAGGGAGTCCTCGTGGCAGGCAATTTCCCTGCCAGCTTCCCCACTGATTTCCTGGGGAAGCCAGCAGGGAAGATACAAATGGTGATCCCATGATCACAGGGCGCTTGGCAGTTCACCGTAAGTGCAAACCAGCTGCCAAGCATTCAGATCGCAATCATGTAACTGGAGGGGCACTGCAACGGTCATAACTTCAGGCCTGGGACACAAGTGCTTTATTCAGCACTGTTGTAATTTTGAACAATTGCTGAACAAACAGTTGTTAAGCGAGGACTGCCTGCACAAATATTCTGATCTACTGTCCTGCCCGAGTCATGAATGAACAACTGCTTTTCCCTCACAAGCATAGTCTGTTGATAAGCTCTGTTTTGCTATGACACTCACGTCCTTCAGTGTGATGATGTTTGGATGCTGTCCGTACCGTAGGAGTATCTCAATTTCCTCGGAGGGATCTCGCTTACTCTTGTCAATAATCTGCAAGAAGTATATGCTGTCTTACAACAACTTACTACTACTTACTGCTTGGTGGGGGACAGATTATATTTAAAAGTTGAAAACATGACATATTTAATTGCAATCTCTCTAATAACCCTGCAAGGTTTTATTACTTAATTATTCACTGTACCTCTAGCCCATCCAATAGTCTTGAGTCATGTACAAAGCAATTAAAACATGCTATAAAATAAATATTAAGCAATATAAAAAGGCTTAATTTATAAAATTAAGCAGCATAAATCATCAGCATCAATCTAAAAATCACCATCCATAAAAATAACAACAAATGCTGAATAAAAGAATAAAGTTCTACATCAATTCACACCCGAGATTGGCAAATACAGTTTGAACACCCAAATTCAGTGATACGAGAGGCTAAGACTTCCTTGCGTATAGAACCCCCACTTTGCTCTCCTGCATTATATCCACAAGGATATAAAATGAAGAGTGGGATTTTAAAGGATTTCACCGTTCTCGGGCTTGAAGAAAGAGGAAACTCTGACCTTGACTGCGTATTCTGTGCTGGTTGCCTTGTGAATACACCGCTTGCATACCGAATAAGAGCCCACACCGATGGCTTCTTTAACCAAGTAACCATCATTAAACTGGAGATTCTTCCCATGCAGTTGCTACAAGGAAAGGCAATAAGGAAAAATCAAGTTTGCTAGACTACACACACAGTCTCTGTCTTGCTGAAGCTGAACCAAGGTGGAGAAATTCAGGTAAGGTTGTCTATATAGGTAGTCCTTAAGTTACAACCGTTCATTCTGTGACTGTTCTGTGTTACAAAAGGACTGAAGAAGTTACTTATAATAGTCCTCACACTTAAATGGTTGCAGCATCCCAACAATCATGTGATCAGAATTTGGTTGCTTGGCAACAGATATGATTGCAATGTCCTCGGGGGAAATCACATGATCACTATTTGCAACCTTCCCAGCTTTCTGCCAGCAGGCAAAGTCAATGGGGGAAGTTGGATGCACTTAACAACCAACTGATTCACTTAACAACTGCAGGGATTTGCTTAACTGTGAGGAAAAGATCATAAAATTGGGTGTGACTCACTTAACAACTGCCTTGTTTTAACAATAGAGATCCTGGCCCCACTTGTAGTTATAAGTCAAGGACTACCTGGATGCTATTTTCATATATATAATTGTTGCAGAATTAGTTCCTAATTAAAATTCTCCTCCTCACTAATCTAAATTGGCACTAAACACCATAGCACAAATAGCAGTTCTGGAGCAGGTTAGATTCAACAAATGCAAAAAATGCGTTGACATTCACATATTTCATAGAATACATACAAATCATCTTTGACAGAGACATAAATTGGCAACAATATCTTTATGTATGTATGCACAATTTTTTTGCTAAGTTAAGAGACAGCTTCGATATGGTTTTTAAATTACATACAAATTTTTGCTTGATTTGGGAACAACCCCTCCCCTTCCAGGGGATTTGAATTTTTTTTTTCAAGAATTCTCCAGTCTTTTCTTACCTGAACTACAGAATGCAAGGGCATGGGTGGCGATTTAGCTTTCTCATCCTCTATCAGTCCAGTGGCCACAAAGCTGAATCCTCGGAAGAGCTGATGGGCTCCTGCACTAGGTGGAATTCCAGGTGAATCTAGAACAAAATGGAAAAAAGACTAGAACTCAACTCATCGGAACAGTAGTATGTCAGGAACTGACCACTGGCTATTCCTTCCCCAAACATCCAAGACAGAGGTAGGACAAGAGCTGACTGGGGAATTCTGGGAGTTGAAGTCTACATATTTTAAAAGTTGCCACGTTTGAAAAATACTGCACTAGCCAGTTCTAATATTTAAACACAAAGAGCAGGATGAGGAACCCAGTGGAGTTGGACCAACCCTTTTCCCTCTGACCACTGCTGGCTTGGAGGTGAGAGTCCAACACCTGGAGAGTCTTATGTTATCCATAACTGCTGTTTCTACAATTCCATTAACTATAGGAACATAAAAGGCTCATCTGAGATGAGCAGAAAGGAAGAAATCTTATAGAGTCCCAATGCATCTTTTTGTATTTATTTTGTGAGAGACCACTTTTCAGAGACAAAATACCTTTTCTCTGTATTGGGAGAGGGTACAGAACCCGATATATGCAACAAAAGCCATGAGAAAAGGTCAAAGAAATGTGCGAAAGAACAGGCAAGGATCGAGTTCTTGTGGGTATGAACGAAATGATTTCAAAATGGAGGCAAGGGCTATTTCTGTGTCCTATGAACAGATGTCCATAGGTGTCCATACACACACACACACACACACACACACACACACACACACACACACACACACACACACA